AATATCTATTGTTTTAAAGCAACAATTGTTGCATTTTTTGCACGGAAACCTAACTCCACCACTACCATCAGCACATGCCTAGGCAACCCCTATAAAGTACTCAACACCCTTCACATAATTAGCAAAAAATAAATCTTCAGCTTCAACCAACCCTTATCCATTCTGTGTATGTGCATAAATTAGGCTAACCCGTGTCTTGGGACGATTCTTAGATCACAGAAAATACCAACAACAAAGCAATCACAACACCGAAGCAATCAAAGCTTCTCTAATAGGGTCGACGCAGTGACCAGAACCAAACACACCATTATGTACACGACTTACAGAAACCAAATGAAGGAATCCAAACGCATAACAACAAGATCCACAAAGTAGAAACCGCCAGCTTACAACAACATCCACAAAACACAAACCAGATAACTCAACATCCCTACACAACTTATAGAAACCAAAAAACTACTGATAACTCAGAGAGTAGGGTGTTTAGATCAGTACAATCGTCTTACGGAAATGAAGGAATCCAATCGAGAACACAGAACAACACCATCCACAAACCACAAACCAAAAAACCCCAAAAAAGACCCCTTAGGTTTCAATTGAATCCAGAAAATAAATCTGCAATCTCTGAGTTACGCATGCAAGACCACATGTAGGGATTCCATTTATCAAAATCGACGAAATCGTATTGTAATTGGCACACACCTAAACTCCCCCCAAAATCCCCAACGAAATCTTCTTGCAATCGGCTGAAAACGAAGAAGTGCAAGAGGATATGATTGAAGATAGTATGGTGATTAGAGTACAATCGTCTTACTCGATTATGAACCGATGCGCTTGATCGCTTCTGCGTGGAGGATTTGTTGAGAGGTTTCGATGCGACAGCGAAGACATACTGGTTTCAATTCAGCAAGGGTTTTTTGAGCGGCGTCTTTCAATTTTTGGGGAAAATTTGACAAACTTGTAATGACATACTCTATTTTTTTATAATAAAGATATAATATGACAAAATATTGTGACATCATATAAATTCGTCACAATGTGTCTAATGTGACAAATTATTATGACAAACAATTTTTTTTTTGTAAAAAAACCACAACTAATATGAAAACTTGTTGCTAATTGTGATGGCTCTCTTTAATTATTGAAGGATGTATGATGCTTGTGGGTTGTGATGGTAGCTGAAGGATTGTGTTAGTTGAATATATTAAATTATGTTGTTTATGTAACTCTGCCAATTATTATTACTTTTATAGCTTAGGTTATAAGTTATGACTTATGTACTATTATGAATTATCTTATGTTAGGTTAATATTTTGGCAGTGTTATATGACCCGTTATACTATGTGTGGAAGAAAAAATGTTTTAATAATTAGGTACTACTGCATGATTGGCTTAATTAAGTCAACCATGTTTTTCATATGTATGTGTGTTATCTATATATATTACTTATATGCATCAACCAAATATTGATAACCCTCCTAGGATTTTTACTTATCTATTGAGACAATTATGTGATTCAATTTAATGGCAATTGTCAACCCAAAGTAAAGCTTTATTCTTGGTGGGGAAGATAAAAAGAATAGGCCAAGCCACGTAAACTTTATATATATATGGTGCCTTCTACGGTACTCCGGGTGAAATCTAGTGTACCGCATACCTTGAGTATGAAAATGCTATCTAGACCTTGAATTAGCAGAATTTTTGAACCTGATACTATACCCTAACCCTTAATAAGTGAACCCTAGTTCCTAATTATCTAAATTATAAAGGCAAAATACATTTGTGTAGCCAAAACTTCCGCGTTTGTGCCAATAATAGCCAATTTTGAAGAAATACCACTTATAGCCACTTCTGTCCAATTCTTTAACGGTGTCATCTAGCAAGCTGACTGTAATAATAGAAACGCTGACGTGGTGACATTTTTTCAGTAACAATGCCACGTAGATTCAACTTAAAAAATAAAAAAATACAAAAGAAAAAAAAAATCTCTAAAAAATATCCTCCACACACACATCTCTCTGTTCCATCTCTTTACCCCTCTCTGCCTCTCAAAATCCACCGCCTGACAATTTGAAATTCCCCTTCCCCGGCCAGCCATGATCGAGAGCAAGTCGATGATATGGGAATAGCTAATTAGGCTCAGCTCGTCCAATTCTCCGATCGTTACTCCCAGTTCTCATCACAAGTAGTACAACTCTAATCCTATGTCACAAGATTACCACCACCAGGTTACTGAAAAAGGTGGAGAAGGAGCAGGGGGAGGGGGAGGTGGAGGTTTCTTCTCGTTCTGTGCTTCCGACGGATTCGAGAGAGTTCAAGAACAACAACAACATATTGCGCAGCAGATGAGGAGATTCGTCGCTGGTTGGGATCGACGGGGAGGAGGAAGAATCTGCCGCGGAAGGAGGGTTTCATAATCATCAACAACCGCAATAGGTGGAGCTCGATTTCAATTTCGCGAACTCCATCCTCTCATCCTGATCGCTCTTCTTCAACTTCTTGGAGAAGATCCTCGCAGCCGCCGCGAAATCCTAGGCAACTTCGTCTAATCCTCCATCTGATCGCTTGTAGTTCCACGAAGAAGAATCATTCATTTCTCTCTCTCTCTCTCTCTCTTTCTAACTTTTCGAAAACCCCAATCTATGAACCCTAATCTTTGTGCCGATAAATCTAGGTTTGTTAAAGGCGGTGGAGGATTTGGGTATGGGGGTTTAAGAATCTGGGTGGGGTTTCCATTATTGAGAGCTCGTAGAAAGGGATTTGGGAGGATGAAGAGCTGGTTGAGGAGGATTTGGGAAGACGAAGCAAAAATAGTGTGGGATTTAGAAAAAGTCTGTTGCCGGCGGCAAAAACAGTTTTCGACGGCGGTTGGATTTGGGCGAAAATAGTTTGCGACAACGAAAAATGGGAATTTTAAGGGTTGTAAGAAGATCAGCCAATGTTGGAGTTTTCAGGGTGGTGGCAGTCGGATGTGGGCGATGGTAGGTTCATGACGGTAGGAAGAAGAAAATGAAGGGGACATATTCTTTTCTTATTTTAATGTTTTGCTTTTGTTTTGGAAAGATATGGAAAAGAGGTCTTTAAATGGAATGACATACAATTTTTTTTTAATTTAAAATGTGACATGGCTGCTATGTGGCATGACAAGATCTATGTGGACATGATGTGTCGATTAGGTGGCAGCCACATCAGCCTAACGTCCATTTCGTTAATGAAATAGTTGAAGGTGTTAAAGTATTTGACGGAAATGGCTAAATTTGTCCAATAAGTTTTAAAAATGTGGCTATAAGTGGTATTTCTCAAAATTTGGCTATTATTAGCACAAACACGAAAGTTTTGGCTATACAAGTGTATTTTGCCAATTATAAACTATAAACCCTAAGATGGTGCATTCATTTTCGCCTTTATTTGGACGAATCATAACCGTCGATTATTATTCTAATTAAATTAATCTTGGAGTATTAGATTTAGAGAATCAAGACCTAGATATTGATCTTTAAGGGTTAGAGTATAGTATCTTGTCCGAAAGATTAGTCAATTCAAGTTATGGAGAGCGTTTTCTTACTCATGGTAATTGGTACCTAGGATTTCACCCTGGGTACCGTAGAACTCCCCATATATATATCATCTACATATATTATTTATATACTAAAATATAATATGTAGTATTATTCGTGCCAATCGGGCGGGTTTGGATTGGGTTAATCGAGTTTGGGTTAGTCGGGTTAGGAGTCAAGCGGGTTGCGGGTCAATCGGGTAAAATGGGTTGTGGGTCAGTCGGGTTATGTGTTAATCAGATTATGGGTCAATCGGGTTGCGGGTCTTTGACTTTTAGTCAAATAGGGTTACGGGCGGGTTGCGGATTGGATTGGTTGGGCGGGTTACTCCTGTCGGTTCATGTTTTGACACCTATAAGCGTAAAGCAACTTGTTTAAGTATAATTTTGAACTTTTGGTAGAATGATAAACATGGAACTCTTTAGATTTTGAATTGATGGAATGTTGATTGATGGCTTATATCGATGATTGGTGGTTTAGGTTGTTGATTTGGTAATTCATAGGTAGATTGGTTTTCTTAGTTGAATTTGTTAAATGTTTGTGTTAAAAAATATTATAGCAGCTTGAGACGTGATCATTAGAGTATGCAATTAAAAAAAGAATAGCTTATTTAGCAGCGGTCAGAACTGTTGCCAATTAATTTAGGGCTCGTTTGCTTCATGGATTTGAAAAATGAAGGTTTTGGTTAAAACCTAGGTTTTATAAAACCATGGATTTATGATGGAATTGGTTCATTTGGGTTTTGAATAAAACCATTGTTTGCTTGTTGGATTTCAAGATGGATTTTGTTGAAGTATATTTGTGGTTATATTATGCATTTACCTCATTGCCCTTACTAACCCTTATTTAATTTTTGTATTATTATTATTGTTAGAAACAAAACTGCCTCCCATCCCTTTAGCCTCGTCCCAATCATCACTTCATCTTTTCATACTCACAGTGGTCATGGCAACCTTCTGTTATTATTATTATTAGAATGTTATATATTATCAAAGTGGTCGTGGCAATCCATGTTTAACCTGCAATCCATGTTCAACTTGCAGCAGATGCTTCTTTCATTAAGCACACATACAGCCTGCATCCATGTTCAACCTGCAGTTTTGTTTTCCATCGGCAAAGTTTAAAAACAACACATGTTCAACCAAGTATACAACAACCAATAACTACAATACAACCTAAAAACACATCTGGAAAATATACTTACAGCCTACTTGAGGCAGGCATACGGAATCAGTTTGCATTGCATTCTTTAAAGGATTAGACACACGTTGGAATGGATTGGAAACTCTCAAAATCACTAATCTTCCACCTCTTACTTTCCCCCAAAACACACAAGTTTCCTATCCATACTATATGTGTTCAATACACACAAGTTTCATATCCCAAAATCAATCCCCCTACATACATACAACCTAACATTGTCCCTAGCTAGAACCTTGGCAGTCAACGTAACAAGTTTTGAATGAAATACTTCTTGTCCTCCTCATTGTCGAGAGCATAGAAGAATCTTGTCTTCCGATCATTCTCAACTAAGGTCATTCCAGCATCAAGGACTTGCCAGCATTCCAGTCCTTGAATTTTTCCTATTTCTGCCATCAATGCAGCCTCCCTATCATCCTCTTCCTCACTATCACCTACAATTGATCCAAGAGCATCAAGTGCCTTCGATATTATAGGCTTCAATCCTCCCAGTTCCTCGGCCACAGCAACAATTGCATTGTCAGTCTTGTTCTCCTTCTTTATAGCCTTCTTCTTCATATCGGAGTTGCTGGCCCCTTGTATTGGTTGAGCTGGTGGGGTCACAGCCGCTCTCTGGGAGATCTCAATCCCTTCATTGATCAAATCTTCCATAAAGCTCTCAATCCTTTGGCCTTCTACATCAATTGGTGTCTGAATGCCATCCACGTCCACGAAAGCAGGTCCATCTACGATCGGGGAGTCAACCACACAGTTATACTAGCAACCTTTCTTCCATTTGGAGGGCCAACTTTTCCAAACACCTTTAGCAATTCATCATAGAATGGGAAGGGCTTCCTATTAAGATTCTTGTAGTTTGGGTGAACCTAGAAATAATAAATACATTAGAAGGAGTATCTCGACAAAATGAGGACATTCAGCAAATGACAATCACATAATTACCTAATAAATGCTTCAAAGACATCATCATCCAGTGTTGGAGTCTTTGTTACATTGTTCCACCCACAGCCGCTCTGATTACGCACCAACTGTATAGCGTGGAAATATTTTTTCAATTTTTTGTGCCTAGAGCAAATGTTCGGTTCTACTTTTACCCCGCATCCAGGAGACCTCTCTAGCATCATATTCTCCAGCTCTGAAAAAGGCCCCATTCTTGAAGGATCCATTCTCCACCTGATGCCTTTGAGTCATCTCCACCATGCATTGTATGATCAATGCATTAAGGGATTCATTCCACTGGAAGTAAGGGCCAGTTGGGTGAGGTACCTCTCCTTAGGTTGTGACTAGCTCTCTCTTCCTTGTCATCCTATAAAATCAACAGTATATTACAAATGGAAAAATCAGCATCTTGTACACAAGACTACAAACCAGTAGGCTGGTACAAATGAAAAAACCAGCAACTTGTTCACAGGACTACAAATGAAAAAGAGGATACATAATAGAGTTTATTAAAATTGATTTTTAAGAGTTGAAGGTTCGACTCAAATCATTTGGTGCTTAAACCAAAACCAGAATGCAAATGGCGGCACTTTCACAAACTTATATCAAATTTAGATAAACTAACCCTAAGTGTGAAAATGCAGCACAAGTGTAGTCAAATTAAAATAGTATTTTTCTCAATCTACACCAAATTAGTATAGTATATCAACATTCTAACAAACCAACCAAAGGATAATAGAAAACCATCCAAAGACATTCAACAAATGACAATCACATAATTACCTTAATCAATGCTTCAAAGACATCATCATCAAGTGTTGGAGTCTTTGTTACATTGTTCCACCCACAGCCGCTCTGATTACGCACCAACTGTACAGCGTGGAAATCTTTTTTCAATTTTTTGTGCCTAGAGCAAATGTTCGGTTCTACTTTTACCCCGCATACAGGAGACCTCTCTAGCATCATATTCTCCAACTCTGAAAAAGGCCCCATTCTTGAAGGATCCATTCTCCACCTGATGCCTTTGAGTCATCTCCACCATGCATTGTATGATCAATGCATTAAGGGATTCATTCCACTGGAAGTAAGTGCCACTTGGGTGAGGTACCTCTCCTTAGGTTGTGACTAGCTTTCTCTTCCTTGTCATCCTATAAAATCAATAGTATATTACAAATGGAAAAATCAGCAGCTTGTACACAAGACTACAAACCAGCAGGCTGGTACAAATGAAAAAACCAGCAACTTGTTCACAGGACTACAAATGAAAAAAGGATACATAAGAGATTTTATTAAAATTGATTTTTTAAGAGTTGAAGGTTCGACTCAAATCATTTCGTGCTTAAACCAAAACCAGAATGCAAATGGCGGCACTTTCACAAACTTATATCAAATTTAGATAAACTAACCCTAAGTGTGAAAATGCAGCACAAGTCTAGTCAAATTAAAATAGTATTTTTCTCAATCTAACACCAAATTAGTATAGTATATCAACATTCTAACAAACCAACCAAAGGATAATAGAAAACATCCAAAGAAGCAGTACAGGGGAACCATATTAGAACAAAGAAGATAAAACTGGATTTTCTCTCAATCCCTTGCAGTCTCATCGACACAGAACAAACACATTCATGTTATTTCATCACACCCACTTCAGCAACGCTACTCATAGAAAGAAGAAATCACATAAGCTTTTTTAGGGTTCCATAGAAGATAGTAGGGTAGGGGACACAATAGAATAAGGAGCATACCTGATTGTTCAGGCCTTCTCCACAGGCGAAGGCAAGGATGATCAGAAAAGTCAAAGTCTTCCTACCGCGTTTTTCTTCTCCATCAGTGAGACCCTTTTCCTCTGAGATTTTTCTTCGTTTCTTTCTCCTTTTCGTCTTTCCTTATCTCTGTATTTCCTTATCACTGTCGACTTAGAACACAGCTGATTGTCGAGGCTTTCTTCACCAACGAAGGCAACGATCAGTCTTGTTACACCCCGACCTTTGAGTTCAGGTTCGACCATAATACGTGAACGGTTGGATTAACAGTTACGTACTAAGGATTTCAACCACAGATTAGAAATAATAATAATAATTATTATTATTATTATTATTATTATTATTTAGAACAAAAAAAAAAAAGGCCAAGAGGGCGCTCAGCATGGATTTTTCCCAAAACCCCCATGCCAAGAATCCAGCCGGCTTCACTAAATAGAGAAACTCAACCCTTCCCCAAAATTCCCCACGTCCAAAAAGAATAAACCCTCTCAATTTTCCCCACCTGTGACCGCCGCCAGCAAACCCCTCCCCAAAAAGACAAAACACAAGGAAGAATGGCGACCACCGAGAGAAAGTAATGGAACAGCAAGGATTTGGATGGTCATGTTAGGTTGATTTCGTCCCAAAGACGATGGAATTGGATGCATCGACATCTCAGTGCTGCTGTCCGTTCATCGGCGGAGGAACGAGAAGTGGAGGTGCGTTGAGCTCCTTCTTGTTTGCTTTCGGTTGCAGTCAGGAGTCACCAAAATCAATTGGTTACAATAGTCAACTTTTGAGGACCGTCCATTGTAACTACTCGTCTTCTCTTAGGGTCCTGTGGGCGAATAATTGTCATTCAAAAGAATGCATTAGGTAAGGATGTCAATATCCACAGAAGGATGATGTAATTCATCTGGCTCGAGCAGCAACGAGACGACGGTTGGGGATTAAGCTGGTGGCCCCATGCTGATTGGTGAGCGCGTTTGCTTCCATGGAAGTAATATATATACCTCGGTTCCCAGGGCAAACCAACAACGAGACTACCGTCCATTCTCACAATTGCCTCTCGATCGACTGGTGGTGAGAGTATGCGGCAGCAATTGATTTCAGTGAAGAGAAATCAATCTTGGAGAGTAGCTGATCAAATTCAATCAGTTTCAACTTAAGGTGAGTGTAAAGGGGGTAAATTCTACGCCTTACGATTTTCAAGTATTTTCCTTGAGTATTTTCGAGTATTGATTTACGTGATGTATGTGCAGTATTTGATTCATGTTTGAGATTGCGTGATTATTGTTGATGATATGTGAGTTTTTGTTTGAGCTATGTTTGATGTGAAGATGCATGAGTTATTATTTAATTTAAAGCTTTACGAGTATAAGTTTTTGTTAAAGAGTAAGAAACAAATTCTTTTAAAGAAGTAACTCACCTTAAAGAAGGTGAAATCGTTTTAAGAGTTTTTAGTCACTAGTGCCAGTCCGTTGCCATTTGGGATTTTCAGACAGAGCAGCAGTTATGCTCTTGAGATTTTCGAGACAGAGCAGCAGTTATGCTCTTGAGACTTTTAAGATGAGCAGCAGTTATGCTCTTGAGAATCGTGGTGAAGAGCCACCACGATAAGTTTAAGATGTTAGGGGGATGAATCGTTACGACTTCCCTAACTAAGTTTAAGTTTAAGGAAAGCCTTGATGGCTTCTCATACGTATGAGTTGGCAACCGGACTAGCTAGTGAGGGATCCCAGTGTCGGTCAAGTATTTAAGTCAAGCTTTCAGATTTAAGAGTGGAGTAACAGTAACTCCCATACAGTTTACAGAGTTAAGCTTTTTAATAGTGGAAGTACTAAACAACTTCCACTCAGTTAACTAAAGTGATCAAGCATTAATAAGATGTTAAAACGTAAGGACGTAGACTGACCCCATCTCACTCACCAGTTTGAAGAGCTAGAGGAGCATTTAGTGGGCAGCGAGTTCGAGGGCAGCTAGCTAGAGGAGAGCAGTATAAGCGTCACGGAGGGTGCCTAGTTAAGATTTTCAGTAGCAGCAACGACAGAGACTACTTAGTTGTTTGCATTTTATGATTATGAGTATAGACTGGAGATCAGATTGAGAATTTAAAGTTTGAGTTTAATTTGCCCACATGTTGGGGCTTTGCTTTGAACTACAAGTGTGGGTTTTTCAGTATTTTATTTATGAAAATTTTTCCCGCTGCAATTTAAGATTTGAGTATTTTATTTATCAAGGGCGTTTTAGTAAAAGTAGTACCCGGCCGGGTTAGGGTGTTACATTTTGGTATCAGAGCCTGGTTTTCCTCTATTTCTTGGTTCCCAAGAAATACTGGAATATCGGTATCAGTTTGAAAGGATTTTGTTTTAAAGGAAAGGAAAAACGAGTCAAGGATCTTCTTTTAAGAGTTTATAGGATCTCCGGTCTACTCTAATCATATGAAGGTGAATAACTATAACAGCACGACACGAAGGGATGGTAGCCTAGGGTGCGAATGTTTAAGAATAGGCTGGGACGCAATTTGGTTAACATGTCGTGGTTTGTCAAATGAGAGATTTAGGCATTTGGTGATCATCAGTATGAAAGAAAGGATGAAAGAAACGTGACCAACCCAAGTAGAATCTCAAAGGCTCTCAAGACCAAGTATCTCATCGACATGATGGATAGTAGGTTTTCAATTAGTTAACCAACTACTCGGGCGTTAGCAAACAGATCATCGTCGTCAACCTAGAGAAGGAAGGAGGAACGTTGCAAAGGTCTGTGGAGGTAGGATCAAATGTGCCAGGACTTCTACTCCAAGCACCAGCAAAGAGGTACCAATTGAAAGGGAATACCTCAAGGGTTTTGAAGGAGTTGAGAGAGTAGTACGAGGATATTACTATTAGGAAACAAGTGGATGATCTAATAAGCTAAGACAAACAGAGGGGAGAAATATGAATCTCCAAAGGAAGGGGAACAATCACTAGATGTCAGTAGCTATAATGATGGGAGGATGTCAGGGTCTTTGACCCTAAGCAGTGGCGAGGAAGCAACGAGCCAAGAAACGAAGAGGTACCACGAGAAGTCCCTCAGCTAGTTTTTGTGGTCGATGGCTCAACACCATTACAACACAGTGACAAGGAGTAGAGGAATTTCTAGACTTTAAGAAATGCTAGGGTAGTATAAAGAAAGCAAAGGAGGAAACAAGTAGGCTACATGGGGTATGAAAGGACGTCAAGAAGTCAACAGGTCAAGGAGGGGAGGCATGGTCATTTCCATATGACGATAAAGGAACCCTTATGGATAAACTACGTCACCAGGGAAGAGGGTACATGACCCTGGGTAGTTAGGCTGATAGCATGCCTTTAAAAGGAACAAGGCAAGCAACGAGATAAATGATGTAGAGGTTATGGTTGGATTAGGCATACTATACACCTGTCAAGCGCAAGTTAGAGGACAAGGTATGAGAAGGGGCTGAGAAACCCTGCAAATTACCATGATCAAGGAGAATCAGAAAATCGTGGAATTTCAAGGAATCCATTGGGAAAGTCTAAAGTGGGAACTAGAGGGCCAAGAGCGGGAGTCTCGGAACCAGTCGTAGGAGTAAATCATTCAATCAACCGGGTATAGACAAACAAGTATAACGTTCATTAGAAGTTCTAATGGAAGTTGGAGAATTCGAGGAAGAGTCTAACGGTCATAATGAGGAGAGTTTGCGAACAATACCAAGGAAGAGCAAAAAGGCCAGAGGGAGTTTGACGAGATTTCAAGAAGTCAATGGGTCAAGTCTCAGGTGACTCGAGGTCAAGAAGCTGCACAAAGAGGTACGATGAGGGAAAGCATTATCGAGAAGGATGAAAAAGAGAAGTTACCTTATCCAAGGTGCCCCACTCTGAGTGGGCGCGGCATGGTAGGAGGGCTCCAGCGGAGACAACTAGTTAAGGATGAAACAGGCACGCTTAGTTAAGCCACTGAGAATCCTAGCTAAGAGATTAAGTTTATGTACAAGATCGATCAACAAAAGGGACATGAAATGAGTCATGTTAAAGGCTACCAAGGGCAAGCCACCATTGGAAGTTGTGACCTAAAATAACAACGAGAAGATATTCAACAGAGGTTGGTGACCCAATATAGTACAAGCAACATCAGAAGAGTTGTAGTTTGGTGGTAGTAAAAGTAAAGAAGCAAGGAGGACACCATAGGACGCTATAGGAAATAAAATAAAAAAGGCGGTTGTCGACCGGACAATGAATGCGTGAAAGAAGATAGTTGGGATGTGGCCAAGCACCATCGTGAGTAGAAATCGTGGGTGTCA